TTGACGCAATACCGATTATTACATTGACTAATCAATTTTAGCCGAAGTTTGTATTAGACATATATAGCTTTTTTTCCTATGTGGAAGTCATGCAGGTCTCGAAGTTCCGATGCTTCATGATGTGAGTTCTTATCTTATCTTAAAATGTTAAATATTATCGATTCATTATTATTATTATTATTACATAACTTTGCACTCAGCTACAATGATGATGAGTTCATGAATTATTAAATTCATGTATAGTTTTTTTTTTTTTCTATAAATCTTTAGGCCGGTCCTCTATTTTTTATTAGTCGAACAGTGGTACGGTTATCACTGCTCACAGATAAAACAGTGTCGATATTCTCACTTTACTTTTTGTCTGGCAAAAACAATTTGAGCAAAAATTACTTACCCCACGAGACGAGTTGGGTTTTTTTTTTTACAAAATACGTAAAATTAAATCAATCGCAAAACGAGTCAGGCTTCCGATAGAGATCGAACAGTGCTAAATTGTAGCGATCATGTTGAGCACATGTTTCAGAAAATCAATAAAAATATCTCTTTCGAAGTATCTGGCGTACAACCTCGATGTCGATTTCAATCGGCCTCATTCGTTCTTTTTTTTACCTCCACCCTTTTCTACACGTCATTCACGTAGATCAACAACAGATCTACATGTGGGTTATATAGAAATATGCTGCTCACTTTGTTTTTCTCTCGCATAAACATTGAACGGGATCTTCACGAGCGGCGTTAGCGTTAGCGACGATTTCGTTGCTGGCTGTCATTATCGTGTCCGATCGGTTCAACCGATGGGGCACACTGTCGCTAGCGAAAACGCTGTCGTCACCGGCCTGAGCCGCGTTAGTCTGCATCACCAGAACCATCCATATCTCTCGGCACCGCTGTAACCACACTTGTGGTTCTCATGCTTTGCGACTAATAATTTTATATCTACTACGATTGGTCATAAAAATCGTTAAGTTCTACACGCTACGCATCAACAGCAGCAGCAGCAGCAGAAAAACAACTGAAGTAAAAGCACTTCGATAAACGTCTGATGAACGCAGTCGGCTTTATCAGCGGTGGTGGCCAGGAATCACCGGTCCGTTGACGCCCGTCGCCATTTAATCATCGCTAAACTGTCGCTGATGAGTTACACAGCAACTCGTAAATTATCGACTGCGAACGACTGTCTACACATAGCGACGTGTGCTAGCGTGTTCCTGAGTACGTAAACATTTGTTGGTTAGGCGGCTGACGTTGTCGTGCCCGGAACGGTGCCAGTTACACGCGGGCTATGCGATGTGTCAGTGCTCGTTGGAGAGCCAAGTCTAGCATCGATCCGAATTTCGTTTGTTTACTTTTTCTATTGTCAGCCGTTCGCCGACGATGGCCGAAGTGGCTATCACTGAGTGTCTTTCGTCTGCGCGAATTTAGGCCACAGCGTTGCATGGCGATAGGAAATATCGCATCGTATGACAAGCCCTTTGCTGCTTGCCTCGATGGTCCTGCATTCGCTGTTAGCTATCTGGATCTGGACGCGTGTGATGATCAATGAAAATACGAATATTTAACTGCACCGTGCTTACATTTTTGACAACGTCAGTGTCCATACAAGGGATAGTAAACACACGAAATTATACTACTCGCCAGCGAGCGTCCTTATCTCAGGCAGAAAACTCGTTATAGCGTCATGCAGTCCACCATCATCACTAAAAGCAACAACAATTTTAATGTCAGTGACTGCGTACAACGACTGGACGGCTGTTTAGTCGAGTGTCGGATACACACGTACTCCAAAAGGCAATAATCGCGGTACAGCCGAACTTTTGCTCGAACGGGTGTCAAACACTGTAACTAAAGTTTTTTTTTCAATATGGCGCTAACAACGAAATGACGATGAGCCAATTGGTCGTGATCGCCAATGGGTCGTAATTTCGGCAACGCGATTACCAGCTTGCCTTACGAGGCGAGAGTTGGATAGATGCAAGGGGAAACAAGTGAGCTAGATGACTCGTGTGAAAGACAGACGATTCGGCAAGAAATGATCTTGAAAGCTTCCAAACGTGAGTTAGAAGAGTTTTTCTAAGAGTTGCTAGGAATATTATCCTCGTGGAAACTAATTCCAGTAGGTTTCGTCTGCAATAACATCAGCTTCAGCAGTATCTACTAACAGTGAATAATTATTCCTCCATAAATTGTGCCACCACAAATGTATCCAAGTTGACATTCTTGCCAGACAATCGTATCATGTACCGTTTCCATGGCGGGCATGAAAGGCCCTTTAACAGACGCTTATGGCTGTACGGGTCTGAGGTTGTGGGGTTTAAGTAGAGTCTTTTCAATTATAGAACTTCGTGGATAGAGGGTAATCCGGGCGTAGGAACATGATCCAGCAACAGATGCATAAGAGAACTGACTTATTGATGATTTGTTTCAATATATCGCTATGAAGACCCTACATGTAGGACAAAAGGCGACACATGTGCAAGTGACTGCCGAAATTATAGTGTATTTCACGTAGATGAGCACGTATCTAACCCTAAGATCTCTCTATAAGCACCCGTAATAATGTTTTTGTAGTTGAGTCCTATTGTAAGGATCTTTCTGTTCACTTTTTGCGTATACGTACAAGCAGTCAAACGAACTCCCTTAATATCCCTTAATAATGTTATATAGATGTCATATAGATGTTTTAGGTATTAACAGATGCCCAGTTGTAGCAGTATTTAACGATGACTCAATAGTTAGGCGGTATGATAAGCTATCTGCACAAACTACGTAGTATTTACGAGTTGGATGGTTTGACCGAAGTATAAAAAGGTAAAATTGATAATGGTATTGAACAGTAAATTCTAGCTCGCTTTTTTAGATTTATTGCCCTCCGCTCCCGTATTCACTGCAGCGTAACGTCTACGGGCTCTTGGCCTACTCTATCAGTTTGTATTGCTTTTGCGGAGAAGAAGATGGACATTCTAGGAAAAAAAACAAAGTGCTCCTTAGCACTCTGAGTTTGTATTCTATTCAAGACAGCAGTCCTCTGCCTTACACACGAGAAGTATCATGTTGAAGAGGATTGCCCAATGACGTTTTGCGGATTCTCAAAATGGCTGTTTAGAATTGGAGGATGCACCCCCGACAAATACCCGAGTTTGGCGATAATGCTGCTAAGATGGGTCGCTCTCAGGCGGCAATCCTTGTTCAATGTGGAATATACGCATAAAACGGGTTGTTGGGTGTTCCACGTTACAACCGGAAACAAAAAGAAAGGGATGCCAAGTGACGTCTCTAGCTGACAAAGGCTATAGCATAGAGCACTGTTTCTATATAATCTATCAGTTTCTATACAATGATCAGATTAACTTAATAGATAAAATCAGGCCACCCTTTACCATGTTATTATAATTAGGCATCCATTACAGAACAAACGATGGTTAAAGCAGCGCTCCAAGCAATAAGTTGTCTTATACCTGCCGTACTGATTTACTTTTCCTGTTTATTATCAAAAGTTTACTTGGTAATATCTTGGCCGCTGAATAAAATCAAAACTTGAAGTTAGGTTGGAGAACTATTGCAAACGGTTGCATCTCACCACACCAATAAGACGCCACGCGTAGCACTATCAGGCTAAATGCCAGCCTACACGATTGTTTCGAAGATGCGCGATTCTAGCCAAATCTTCATCATCGATCAGATAAAAGTAACACAGAATAATTTCCATTGTACCGGAACAGCTGTCGCTCGACATACTGTATCGTTGTTTCTTCGGCAGTCTATTAAAAACTGTCTGAAGTTGTTATGTCATAAATAGCCAAATGAACTTCTCTTGATCGGTAAAGCCATGCGGCGACAATCTCTAACTTCGATTCTATAATCGTGATAAATTAACCGTATATTTATTTTAGTTCAATATTAAATCTACCCGTACACAACCCGTATTATTTTCGAAAGCGTAACAGATTAGACTCACGGCTCATTGTTTTTCGTATTAACTTTTCATAAGAAGTTACATATAAACACAGCATATTTAGTATGACCCTAAAGACGCCATGCGCCCTATAAATACTATTCGAATAAATAAGGGAATTCGTTTTCTAAATTATCACGCGCTGTTGTACAGTTCCGTGAAGCAAGATTCGGACCAATTAGATAAATAACTGTACAAAATGCTGGATGGCTTTATCTTGCAGCTATCGAAAATCCTCGATTATTACGCTCGCTACTAGGCACGAGCCGGTTGTCGGCCGGACAGATAGATTTAGCAGAGCTTTTATAGACCCAACTCACACGGCTGTTCGCAGGCTTAAGCGCTGCTAGTATAATCAAATCGTTTTAGCCGAACGAGTGCCTATTCAAGTAACTCTACCAACTTTAGTTTAGACAACTTCGATAAATTGCAGCAGGTCCAGATTTTAACTGACCTATAAATTCACTGGCGGAAAAAAACAGTTCATACTGTCTTACTTAGGGACTAGCTCTGCGAAAGGTCAGGTCCTACCAAACAGCGACTGTCTTTGTCGTCGTTGTGAGGATCTGGTATTGACGCATGAATGAGATCTACGAGAGAATCTGGACAAAGACAAAAACATAAATTTGATCAAACGTAGTGTCAGTGGCGCGGACGACGGCGACGGCAGCGGCCGACCCAGAATGTCTTCTTCCTGCAGTGTTGTAGCAAAGGGCTCTGCTAACCGTTTATCGAATTCATGATGCCTTCACCATGTCGTCCGTATGATGCTGCCATTAGAAGAGTTTCTACAGTTCGAGAGAGACACCATGCGAAGAAGACGATGAGACGAGTTATCGTTCTGGTCAGCAAGTCAATGGGGCTAACGGGCAGACCAACAAAAAACCGCATACGCATGCTATAATGTGATGCAATGCAATGTTTTATTCTACTATAGTCTAGTAGAAGAAAGTTCAATCTGATCGACTCCCTGCCGGTCACTGACCGATGGCAGCGAGAAATCCCGACGATGAGCCGACGGACCCCCCGCCAATACGCATGACGCCGATCGGGGATATCTCACCCGATAGCAAAACGATGCTACTATTACACTTTCACCAAGGTTCGGTACGTTCGCCGCAGCGGTGATACAAACAACGACAACTTTCTCAGTTGGTGACATTTTTATTCGCTTTTGAAAGGAGATTCAGAGAAAAGACGAAGCCACCCCTTCTCATTAACTGCGGCAGAAGAGCCCAGATTGAGAGAAGTCTATGAGTGTGGGTGTGGGCCTGAGCGTGGGTAAGTACACACCTATTTACAGTTTAATAGCTTCCGTTGGATTCATGGGGGAATATCATCAATACACACCATAGACAAGCGTATTATTACAGATACGCACTACAACACCGCAGTTATCGTTGATACTGAAAAACTCGACTTTTATATATATATATTGAGATTATGATACAACCGGCAACGGTTTTGCGGAAAAATAATTATCGACTTGACGCATTTTGGGGATCTATCGAGAAATGCTGCGCTTAACAAACGTTCGAAAGTATAATAACTATAACATGTGTAATGCTTAGGGCCCATTACATAAAGACAAAATATATATGCATTTGACTGAATCTTATGATTATGTATTTCACACGTAAAAATCAAGTTACCTAAGACTCTTCAGTTGGAAGTGTTTATCAATATAGAAAGTTCCAAATTCGTCGGCTGCTTTTCCATAGTTTACTATCCGAAGGAGGGGACGAAGGTCAGAGGAGAACTTTTTCTTAACGTAAACTGCATCACCAAGTTAGAATTTTGAAGCTGGTGCCATTTTTTCTATGAACCGTAAAAATTCGATTATTTGTGTTTAGCTTATGCGATATTATTTTTCTTTTTAGGAAGGCTTACATGTACAAAATCCGAACCGTGAATCCCTTAAAGACGTCGTGTCAGTGACCGGCCATCAAAAACGGAACGTAATTCGCGTATTAACGTAGTGAATTTATGATACGCAAGGCAACATTTTCTTAGTATTGTAAGTAATTTAATTATTTTAAAAGTATATTAAATCACATGAGTAATTTAATTAAGTATACATAATTACCTAGGCAATCAAATATCTGGATCATTTCATAAATATGTCTAGGTATGAGAAGGCCAGTCACTCTCAATCATTTTTTTTTCTATAGTCGTAAGAAACATAGTACTTCGGAAACGACCCTCTACAACGGTAGCTGTTCGCCATTTTCATGCAGTATTCAGAAAAACTCAATTATAAACAATATATATATATAGTGTGAAGCTGCGAAGCTGAGTAGCTTTTCAAAAATTGAAGCCATGTTGTAGAAAAACATGAGTTCGCTGTGGGTCAGGATCTGATATTCTCAAATGTACAATCGAGACAATTTAATACGTAGATATCTAATCGTAACGTATACTATTATAATGAGACAGACTAAACTCCTAACTAGGAAACGGGAAGCACCTGAAAAACACTCATCATGAGCGTAAAACGTACTGGATGTACAAATAGCAAAAGGAGCCTGAGGTCGAATTGACTTATTGCATTTAGGTAGGTGTTGTATAGTTGGTGTGGTGGCTGATCTATTAACGTGCACGTACGCAGAGCAAGATTTCGACCCGTACGAACGACGCTCATTTATTTTGTTAGTCATCATTTCCTATTTTGCTAGATGATATACAGCTCCTCACTTACCGATAGCGACAGCAGCAATAACAACAACAACAACGACAACGACAACGACAACAACAACAACAACAACAATGGGATAACCTTTGTCCCGAACCTTTTTTTTTTTCGAAATTCTTCTGATCTCTACGCATTTTTCCTAGACTACGACTGATGAACTGAGATAACCGTTTGCCTTCTATTTAGGTTCGTTCACTAAACCTGTGTATATAGAAGCGCAATCAGAGTGACTCGATATGTCAGCGAGCGTGCCACCCTGGTCCCGTGTTGAAGCCGCCGACGCAGACAATAAATACTAAATAACGAATGCTATACACTTGGTCAGCTATATCGAAGACTAGGTATTACTAGTATTTCATTGGATGAACAGTGACCCTGCCAAAGCTCTATAAGATAGTTAAGTCAGTACCAAGTACGCAGGCCGTATCGCACCCAGCCGAATGGCTAGTCCACGATCCTGTACGAAACTTGGGAATGTTCGGTATGTGTCAACGCGCTAAGCTTTAACCGTCTCTGCTTTTGACGTGGTTATCGTCTTGGTTTCTGTTGTGCTGACTTCGGTATTATTGCTCAGGGGACGCTATTTAGTGCTATGATTCTTCTAGTTGAAGAAGCTAACCGTGTCCTTTGAGGACAGTGGGCTCGGGAGAACGAGGAGGTGCCGACTAGAGGGGGAGGTCGCAGGGAAAGTCATAGGCTTCTTGGCCATTTCGTCAGCATTGACTTCGTCTCGCTTCTCTGTCACAACGTAGAATGGTCTACCTATATATGTTAAACAGAGCCTGCTACTGCTGCTTCATCATGCCGTTGGCCTCGTCTTTTTTTTTTATTTTTTCTCCAAATTTTTTTCACTAATTAAATTGGGAACGCCTCTTCTCTGAACTCTGCGGCTGAGAGGCGCCCGTCGAATGATGATACAAACGTAATAGTTAGCAAGCATGGATTGACGGCCGGACGATAAGGGTCCTTAATTGAAATGCGCATATCTTTCAATAGGACATATCTGCATATGAGAAATACTTGTGAACTGATCAATCGAAGAATGCGTAACAAATTCTCGTGCATATGTTATAGTAGGGATTCGTATCACGTGCAGAACTTAAGCCGAAGTGAACATTCTACATTTATTGTTTTGCTGCACAGTCTTTATCGCATACAAGTTCATTAACTTTGCCCGTCACTATAAAAATAATTTAATCGGGTTAGTTCAAATGACGAAGCGGTTACCTGGCCAGTTGGGTGCCTGTCTCTATTTGACTAGACACGACCCTGACCAGGTTCACTTATGGACACACGGCTTCATGTGTCTATTTTTCTCCGGACTATAATCCAGGCTACATACACAGGAACGAACGCTATCAGACTAGCCTTCCCAGTCTAGCCTATGGCAAAGCTCTCGTTGCGGTTCATTTCTTACCTTATCGCGCTGTTTACCTTATTCCCTCACAATTATCTATGTTGTTTCAGTTCAATGCATTTGTGAGTCTCTCTAACTTAGGAAACTTGCCTGTTAGCTTCTTGCCGCTTATTACACGTACTCCGGTACTATTTTACGTTAATGTCTTACCTTATCTCAGAGATTCGACTCTTTGTATCAAATGTTATTCAGCTTTCTTCATCAACTGATTGATTGATGATGTTGTGAACGTAGCTGTTTGATCCGTTTGTCTAGTCAGTCCTTTAGTTTGCAGTCATTGTACTGCCGCTTACCATCATTATGCCCTTAGAGTCATTCCGCTTTCAAAAAACTGGAACCGGCCTAAACTTTAAAATGATTAGGCCTAGTGAAAAACTATTATATAAAAACTATTAAAAAATATATTTTACCATCTTACCCTTTAATTTTTCCTCGCAGTAGATTAGGCGAACTTCTATCCGTTCAGTCGACGGTGACGTTTATGAGACGTAGTGGGTGAAGCCTATATTGGCTCTAAACCGGATAGTAAGCAATGCCTTTCCTGCAACGATGCGCTCTCGAAGGTGTTCATAATTTCCCCTGCTACTCTCTGATCCGGGGTCACATAATATCAACTTCAACACTGAATTGGCGGTACAAGATAAAAAAAAATTGCGTACATAACTCAAATGTTTCTGACATTAGATGCTATCCGAAACAATGGTATCGTTACTTTTGAATAATACTTTTGAATTAATTTATGATTAGAGTGAATATCTGTTACCTTTCCCTTGTATTGAAGAAGGAAGGGCTCAGTAGACTGGCGGCCGCCCGCAGGGTGTCTGATCGGCGCCATGTCCTGCATCTCACCGAAGGCTGAGCGCATCAAATCGGAATAAGTTATTCGTACGAGCACAGACAATTACGTTCCTCACAGTGGCGCGCCATTTCGAACTGCTTTAGGCAATCATAGGTGAATCATGTAAAAATTGGCACCAATTAATGCTCTTACTAAATTTACATGTAACAACAAATAGAAACGAATTACCTTATCATAATGTTGTATGTACGTTCTTTATGCACGCCAGCAGTACGGGTGTTGGAAGTGGCGGTTGTCGTAAGCGTATCAGTGATTTGATGTTATTACAGATCAGCTGATTTTAACAATGATGTTAAATCATTTCATCATACTCGGAGTTGCTGTTTTGCGCCCCGTTATACCGCTACGTAGCCCTTGTTAGTTATTCTTTTTCCGTGGGTGATGCCGCCCCTCTCGCGAACGTTAACGCCAACTCAAACAGACATGGAGCTGGTAATAACGCTCATTCTTTATTTATTTACTAGCACAGCTAAGTAGAAGGACCATGTTACGGCCTATGATCTAGGGACGGGCGATCGTTTGTGGCAATCTTTTCATGTAATAAATACACTTTTGGCTTCATGAAGACGAAATTGGATTGGACGCAGAGAACGTGTGGGCGGATGTAGTGGGACCGGCTGAGAGTTCGAGACCGAAAAGACAAGGCGTTGACGACGAAACTGGATGCAGTCTATTTAGTGCAGTCTATTTAGCACAGGTTGTCTATGTTGAGCGCCGTAGGAGACATCGATTTACCTGCGACGGAGAGAAATTTAACCGACTGGGGAAAAGACAAATGGGTTCGTCTGTCGAAATATTACATCAATTCAATATAATGGTGGTAAGCTATAGTTATGTTCCGGCGGATAGTTGACAATTGCCGAACGATTATAACGGGCTTAAATTCGAATCAGATCTAGAACTTGTTCGACTCTGTAGTGTAAAATAGTCCCACATGTCAGTAGACGATAATGTTTCAAGTCGGACCTTTTTTTCTTATTAACCTATCCAAATGCAATACTCGTATTGGCACCTTTTTACACTTCAAGTGCTAGATATAATAGATACATGATAACGGTAATAAACGAACGAGATTTGCACGATTCTGAGCGTATCTGAGTAAAGGATACTGCCATATTGCGTAGGCAACAACATCGACCTTGCTCGTGCTGGTAAAGCTACTGACTAAATCGAAAACTGCCCCCTGGCATCGACAATTCCGAATCCTATGAACGCCGCAGATATGTTCGAGACACAACGCAAGTCGATCGGGAACTTACCACTAAGTTCCCGATCAACAATAGTCAAACGATAAGGCAGATGTAATTGAAAAAAACAAAAACTCAAGTTTCAATGAAACAACTATTTGATTAGTACCTGCCCGTCTCAAAGCACCGATTATTAACAACATCGCCTGTCTATGACGCGCACAACATATTAATCTAGACGGTCGACCAATGCTCGCTCGCCTCGTGTTAAGTTCATAACAAACGAAAGTTAGCTTGTATTTTCGCTACTAGATGGCGGCGGCGTCGCCGGCTCGTTCCTTACCCATTGGTCATCAGTTGCGGCCGTTGACTGGCTCCTGTGCGCGCACAGTAAGAGACCTGTGTAAAAGTTGCTTTGTTTGGGCTGGGCACCCCGGTGACGTAAAAAAGCAGACGATATATCAAGAACAAGATGGTCAACAGTCGAGATGGTGGTTGCAAGGATTCCTGCTGTCACAGCTATACGCCCCCACTTACGTATACGCAGACATGGCTGTGTCACCTCTCTTGTCAATTGGCACATTATCCTACTTCGACCCTGTCACGTCACCCTGATCTTTTTGTCCTGTTTCGTCTCTTTGAATAAAGCAGCTCTATAGAGCATGCGTTACATGACCGCGATTGCTGGCAGACGTTATTTGGGTAACATTATTTGATGAATAATAGGACAGAGACTTGGCGTCGTTTACGTAATCGCGTCATTCAACGGTACGATGTAGAGTTGCTTAATGCTAGCCGGCAAACGTGTGAAAGCATCTAATTACGAGGACAGCTATTCTATTCCGAAGAAACATTTGGCCGACTGTACGGATTCAAAACGTCAACTAAGTTATTGACCGGTTAGTTATATTTTTAAGTTAAATGGACTAATCAATCAGGATGTCTCTGATTTTTTTCTAACCATTACTTTTTTCAATCACGCCGTGTATGTACTCTGGGACTCAAAGAATCTTTCAGACGCTCTATGATAGTCAAAACATAATTTGTGTTTAAAGGCATCATTACAAGCGCGAGCTTTGAGTAACTAGGATCTGATTTGAAGAACACATATATATACATAGAAGATAAACATCTACTACCTCTCTTTTGCAATAGATTTTTTGTAATCTAATTTCCCAATTGAAAAGCTAGTTACGATTGTTGACTAGCACATATTAAAATCCGTTAATTACGACAAAGGATCCCAGGTCGGAGCAATCAAAACGAAAATGGTGCTTGGGAAAGTGTTTCACTTCACCTATGATCTTTGTTCAGTAGCTGTTGCGCGTAGCACGTCTCCCATCGAAGTGAACCCATCTGACTTACAACCTGTGCCCATCCTTTACTTTAGCGGCGACCTAAGCATTAGTCACCTAGACAAGGTCACTTCCGTCATACGGAAACGATAGTGTCTTTCCTTACCCGCACGCAAATCGACGCTATCACAGCGTTCGGTCCCAGTAGGCCAGCGTCCCTTATTTTCTGTTATAGGTGTCGACGTCCTTGTTCACAAGAGGTCTCGTTTGCCGCCGCCCATGGCGACATGCCGAGTGCATGCTTCTCGGGTCCGTAGCTCTATTACAGTCTTTACGAGACAACAGGAGAAAAAGCTGATTCCATTTACCCCCATGATCCTACGATCGACTGATCATTCTGTTTGCTGCCGCGCCACGAACAACTGACTGACAACTTTACGGCATGGTGGACTACGGGGGAGAGACTGGAAGGCCAACGATAAGGAGAACGTCTATTTACCTATCCATCCACGTAGTGCTCACCCACCACCACCACCACCACCATCACGGTTACCCCTCTCAACAGTTTCATTGTTCCGGCACGGAGCGGCGCCGACGGCCGCCGCTGGCGTGCCGTTCCCGATGTTGCTTCATTGTTGTTCTTTATGACGATCGTGTCGGTGTTGATTTGCGCGCGATCGCGCGTCTGCATTGATCGCCATCGCCGTCCAAGTCCCTGATTCGGGCCAGCACCCCGCCGTCAGGAACAACCACCGGGGGTACCAGTGTCCAACAGTGGAGAAGCACAGGCCCGTTTTATTCGTTCGCTCAGTGATCACAACTCGATCGCTGATGCATCTCTACGACTGGTCACAGCCCAGACGCCGCCGCCGCCGCCGCTGCCGCCGCCATAGCTGTCGTGGTTGTTCTCGTTATCGTTCGGAGCAGCAGCGTTCTCTGGCTCAACGCTGTCGTCGTTGTTGGTGCCGGTGTCTCTTCAGCTAGCTGCACGAGCGCCACAGCACAGCCGCCGCGTCGCCCGTTGTAACTGCTGCGCATAGCTCGAAGGGTGCCGTTTGAGCAGAGTTCTTCTTAGTCCAATCATCTTTGATAGTGCCGTCGAGCTCCTCCTACCTAGGGGCGGTCGGCTGGCCAGACTCCACCCACGGGAGAAGGTCACATCGGCTGCGAGAGCAGAATACAGCGCCGAGCTGAGAGGAACTGACCCCCCGAAGCGAGGTACATAGATTCGCCCTGTGTGCTTCATTCAGTGTGCGGAACATTGGCAGCATCGTTGTGGTTCGTGCTGTGTTGCTGCGGCGTCTCGATAGCGATAGGTTTTTGCCGTCTACTACTGAACTGTTGTCGCTACGGCGGCTATTACAGACTGTGGCTTTTCGCAAAATGCTACGGATGCTGGCTGCCCAACACTGCGTCGGTGGTAGCTACAGCTGCCGCAAGACCATACCGCTGCTATAAGCTTAGCACAAAATTGACAACAATAGCAATCCAACCGGTATTGGCTAGATACACAGCCATTGCTGGCAAACCTATAAAACTGACATAGCCTGCGGGTAGAAATCCTGTTATTTTGATGGGCCGAAAATGCCCACATGATCGGTGACGATGCGATCGGTACTAATGACAATTTGGTATTACCCTACTGTGTGTTTTAATTTGTGCGATTGTTGAAAGTGGCGACAAGACGACACACAGGAACAACCAGTTCTTACCATAAAACCGATCAACGTTTGTAAACGATCCCTCCGTTACATTACCTTGTCACTTAGTTCCGGTGGCCGGAACATATCCGGCAGCGCGATCAGCAAATCAATTCATAATCAATCAACATCACTATTGTCTTCGTACGTCGTTTTAGGCATACGAAAAGGTGTTCGAGTGATAACGTGATTATTGTGACGCTTCTCTTAACGGTCGATTTTCAGCCTGCATACGGACATTGTAAGAGGGAACAAGCTGCGCTGACACTTTTTGAGTGCGGCTGAAAGTCGGTCAGTGTCAGCCGTGATATGACCTGTCGCCACTTGGCGATGTGGCGGAGGCCGACGGTGGTGTAAATTGTGAGTGTTGAAGCGCGCGCGTGTTCGAAGACACGTTATGTCATCAAGGACAAGTTAAGCAGGACACGTTATGTGATTAGTAACCTCAACGAGTCAGTGCTAGGTGGCCGTTTCTGGGTTCGCGATTTTTCACGCTATGCGCGCAGTGTGCAGTTATCTTCAAAGCAGTTTGTGTGTATGTGAGGCAAGTGAACGACGTATATTCTTTGTATTCTTTCACTGATCTACTTATAACTATCACTGAAAGAAAAGACATCAGAGTATCAGAACCAGCTTCAACCAGGATAACAATAACATTATGTATCAACATGTGTCTTCAGTAAGTCGACAACGAACAAGGCGTTTGACCCACACCCAGTGCAGGTGATATACTATCATTTTTCGATAGACGCCCTAGAATTCATCCGCCTGTCTGAATTGACGAGCAACCCATATATGTTTCATCTTCTCAACAAACTCAGAGGATCAGCTGAGCTTCGACCGACCCGCCTCGACACCCACGTCGATAACAGGCCGTAATATCTCGGAAGCTGTAAGCCGCTGCTGGTGTTGAGCAGGCAGATCGGGTTGGCTTTAGAGGCCTCGTCTTGGCTTAGTTTTGCATATGTCCATATCCAGATTCACGCATCGGTCACACCCAGTAATCTAGATCCACGCGACTGATTTCTGTTCGGAAATCTTTTGCCGCAAAGATGTTGTTTCACGTGGACGCGCCCCATCCACATCAGCTGAAGCTGTCACAGGATCAGTATCAGCCACAGTCTTTCGCCATGCCCTCAATGTATCCACACCCTCTACGGCGAGAAGACGCTAGCTGCTACGAATCCTCATTCTTCCCTGTCGATCAGGTGGGCGTCGGCGGGGGCGGCGGCACGAATCTTGGCGGGGGTGTGGGCTCCCACCGGGGGATGTCTGGTCTTGATCGAGACTATCGACCGACGCCGACCGAAGCGACGACGTTCGAGTACGAATCGCCATCGAGCGGTGCGTTCATGCGCTATACCCCACATAGTCCATCGGGGTCGTCCTGCTCGGCGACATCACCGTCGAGCGGAACGGGCAAAAGTGAATACGCCTGCATGTGGGTCGAGCCCGAAACGGCCACGTTCAACCCGGGCTACCCGCTCAGCAGTGTATCATCCTCTAGTCAACGAAGTGCGAGTGGCGCGGGCGGAACTCGCGGTCCCTGCGGGAAGACATTCCTCTCGATGCCCGAGATAGTCAATCACCTGACCGTCGATCACGTGGGCGGTCCCGAGTGCACGAACCATACCTGCTACTGGGAAGACTGTCCACGAAACGGGAAGCCATTTAAGGCCAAATACAAACTGGTCAATCATATTCGAGTACACACTGGCGAGAAACCATTTCCCTGCATGTTCCCCGGCTGCGGCAAGGTGTTCGCGCGAAGCGAGAACTTAAAGATTCATAAACGGACGCATACGGGTAAGTTAAATGAAGGTCTATTTCGCCTAGGTACATTACTGCCACAGCTAACGCACTAACAAAAGCGTTAAAAACTAATAGGTTAGTGAGTTTGTGCGACACGACGAGCAAGCGTAGGCCTCACGCCCTTGTCCAAGAGAGCGTTTGGTCATTCGTAGAATTGGATCCTGCAAGACCTAGAAAAAGGATTTCATTCTGTTTCTTTGCATGTCAGACCAGTCGCACGCTAGCGGTTTACGGAAAAATCTGTTTTCTCCTTTAATAGAGGCGAGTACAAGATATCAGTAATGATAACGCCAGTCGTTAAAGGACGAGTTCACATGACGGTTCAATGGTAACATATCTATCTATAAACGTACGGAACACGTATGATTTGTACGTTACATGTTAATCCTGCAAGTGGACATACTCGTGCTTTGGGGAACAACTCCTAACTGTAGCGTCCGACGGCCGCTTCGGACGATAAACTCGGGGCATTTTGTTTAAACCGGTGTGATGAATAGGTGTGTAAGTATATAGCTACTGCTCTCTCCTGCGTTCTGCACGAACGCTTGCCGGACAGCAAAACACTGCAAAAGCTGGGATTGAAGAGTCGCTCGCAAATCACCAGCGATCTATCTTCTTTATGTATTCTTCGTTGCTACTGCTGGGTCAGCTTGGAAGCTTGACAAATTGAATGTGAAAGCAAGCATTCAAAGCCATCGATTCATAAGCTACAATACAATTTTTTCAGGTTAGTAATATTGAGTTAATGAAATGGTATTCAGGTACACAGACAAGCGGGTGAAGTCAGACAATACATATGAAGCGCAATATATTGATGAACCGTCTGCGGTACTGCAGCACAGGAAGACTTGCCTTGGACAGAAAATAAATCTCTGATTACATGGGCAAACATTCAATCGATCAGCATTAGCTTCATAAACTATTGAAGACCTTCTATATATTTACATTGTTTAGACAATCGCCTGTAATTCTTACACAGATGCTCGCAGACGTTACTTCTATACAAACGTTCGATGCGTTCCGGCATAGTCTATCATGTCAAGCAAAAACAGATCGATCCAATTAGTAAATACCAGCTTTTGTAGTTCTTGCTGTTGATGCCATCTTTATTTAGCTAATACTATATTATCACATAAGTGTTTTCTATCATAGTTGGCTCACTGTTTATTTAGGACGTCTTGGAAAGGGCCTGTTTTCCTTGTTCTGCACTGTGCAAACAAGCAGCGAGCCAGTACGAACACAATAATTCAATTGAAATATATAATGATCGACATATATTCGTTGCCGGTGGTCTGAGAGGTTGCCATGCAAATCAGCGAAAGACGAAGAAACTGGGATGAACCAAGAATTGAAGTAATCTACCCTGTCAGGCACTCCGAGAGTCGCCGTTGTTGCTACTGCCTCGCTCGTCCTCTATGGCCTATTGTGACGCTCACAAATGGAGGTACATCCTAACAATGCCATCGCTAGGCTTATAGACCACGGAGCGCGCTCTCGTGGCGTCTGCTATACTCATCTTATTGTTGCCGTGTACTAAAGTTGGCCGGCTGCACCTGCAATGGCAGCTTTAGTTGTATAGCCGTCCGACTTTTGACTTCTACAGCGTAGCGTTTAGCTTTTTCAACCGTTTTTTTTTTCTCTATTTCTATTCCTCCCCCGCTCTGTGTCCAGTTTGTTCTTCCTGTAATCGCTATCGCCATGTTTCTCATTCGCCACTGCTGATAGTTCCTTGAGTTGAACAGGACGTATCGAGCTTGTTACACTCGAAGCCTAGCTCTGCTTTCTGTTGTAGACTGTCCCCACCTTTTCTCTAGATCTCTCAATAGTCAGCGGTTACCTTACAAAATTGGCGTTGCTGGTGCAACGCCACTGTAGCAGGGTAATCGTGATCGAGCGAGGTTCTGTGAAGTCGACTCTACCGCTTTCGTTGGCTGCTCTCGGAAGTAGAACTGTCTGTCGTCTCAACAGGTAACAGCCTCCAGCTACCGGAAAAGCGAGTCTACCCTATCCGGAGGCATGGTGCTGGTCGTACGTCGACGCTCAAGGTAGCCACTTAAAATATCGCGCGCAATAGCCCACATCCTGCAGCAGACCTGATCGAAGTCGTTATCGTTGATTGTTTGCTTTCCCATGTTCATCTGGGCCGCTGCATACGGGTAGGTGGATACTATAGGTGAGTTCTTCACTTCACTCTTCGGAGAATGACCGAACGGCAAAATACGTGCGTAGTATTTTTGCGATGTATCTATATGTGGTGGCTATACCAAAAATAGGCAGTACCCTGTCTGGCACTCGTACCTCAACACCGTGGTTTTCTAACATAATACCTAGCGGAACCTACGAAGCGCGAGTAAGGAGCATCGCTTTAAGTATGTGTGTGTGAACTTCGAAGTGCACTTTCGAGTGGATAAACACTCTACAAAAGAAGAGCTTCAAAGCTCTTAGCGCTTAAGGGTACTTAATACGACATTGTCGCCTTCGGAAAACTCATATTGAATATATTGTAGGTCTGTATTCGTGTAACATCTAAGCTATACAAGATTCTGTATGTAAGTGCTGTTCTGAATTCATATTTATAAACTACTGAGCCTTAAACGGCGTTCTCTCCGACGCTCGCATCACTTACACACCCGACGACTGAGGCGTCCTTATATACAGGGGTATTGTTCCAACAAGCATTCGCTAACTCCGGTGGTTCTCGAGATTGTCATACTTGCGACTGGCTCGCTCTTTAACATCGCAAGGATCTTCGTGTAGTAGACTGATGCTCATTTTTTTGTAGCAACTAACATGGGTAGACAAATAGAAAGACCGATCGTAAGAGAGTACAAGATAGGTGTAGTAATCAAGCACTCATTGATCGATACGACATTCTAATCTCGCCTGTGGTTGATCCTTATTGTATCGTAGGTATAAAAGTCGCAGTATGCGCCGATAGTAACAACAGATAGTGCAATTAACTCTGCACTAATGTTGAGTAGCTTTGGCTGACGACTGCGGTAATAAGTAATAAATGAAAAAAAAAAAAGCAATAAAATAATAGTCGAATTATTACAATTCGCGCATAATGTTGAAATGGTAAAATATTCTGATAATGTATGCAGCTACGAACACGTCGCATGCACAGACGATTACATAGATCAACGGAGATGAGATTTCTACTAGTAAATCCAACATGTGGATCTTATCGCATTTCGATATCCTTAACGCTTCGTTCGGTCTCCAAAGTTTTGCTTTCTGGTGTCGATCGGGGCTGGGGAAATGGGGTAAACTGAAGGGAACTCTGGCAGGTCCGCACCTGCGTACCCGCGAAATATGTTTCGAAGGTGAAAACGAAAAACGAGAAAATATTGCCCCTTGAATGGCTGCTGTTTGGGGTACGAATCGGCGGTTTAAATCTCCACAGATACACAAACAGATCTCTGCTCGTTAGCTTGCTTGCAGCCTTACGATGTTGCACCGCCTTCGCCACACCGCATCCTCGGCACAATGTTTTAATCCTTGTAAGCTGTCAAAGATTAACTCGTTCAGATACGGATACATATAAACACGAGTATGCAAGGTGACACGAAAATACCAAATAGTAAATAGAGAAAGACGATGCGCTCTCTAAGTAGTAGCTCATTTAATGTAGGGAAGTTACTGAAGCTCGCCGTAAGAGACTGCCTCGCTGTTTCTTCTTCTTCGACTGGGTTGATTGTATTATAATTTGGCTCGTCATAACCTGCTGAAATGTAGGTGTCCATCATCAGGCGAGACGAAACGATCCTTCCAACAGCGATCGTGTGAAAAGATCATCCCGTTGATCTATCCAATAAGGTATCGCTGCGGAGGCTGCCGTATCGACTATTACAACGATACGACAGGCAAGTAAGCAAGCAAGCAAGCAAGCCAGCCTCTATCTATTTGAATGTGGTTGTTGTTAAGTGTGTGCCTGCTGATGTGTATCTAGCGCAAATGTGGTAGAACATCGATAAAATACATAATATTCAGTTATGGGACTTCAATTCATCCGACTGTTATTCAGTGCGTCCTTAGTTAAGAACTCCCCTCTGTTGACGTTGGACAATCTGCGAACCTGTGGCTTAACACTGTTTTTGCCGGAGACACAGAGAATCAAAATGAGCCCCGAAAGCCATGCCATTTTGATTACCACCAGCACCAGTGTCATTACGAACGCTATTCCTGGTGGCCCCCCCCCCGAGAATTGGGAGTGGAAAAATCATCTCACCTTTACCCCGCCTTGGAGACGCGCACACACAAACGCTCACAAAGCGCCATAACCACTATACGATTGAAAGCTAGGCAGAAACAAGATGCACTTGCTTACTTACGCACAGAGACACATACATAAACTGTGCCGAACGGGCATACATACAGATACCTACACGCCCTTGATGGCGGCCGAAGGGGGCGACTCCCGAAGCTTTTTCGTTCTTCTCAAAAGGCTTCTACTGCACTGTTTCGCTCAACGCGTACAGGCATATTGCCGTCTCCTCGATAGCTGCGCTATTTCGAAGGAGCGACGACGATGACGACGACGACGACAAGGGATTCCGCCCGTCTGTGCGTTCGGCCGTCAACCGACCGACCGACCTGCATAGTCAATCCCGTCGCGCGTTTCGTACGTTTTTCTTCGTTAACGAAACTCTCTATGCGCTCCTGAACTTGCGTCGCTTTCATTCGGTGGCATTTTTTATTCCGGTGATCGGCGTCTTCCCCCCTCGTTCTCTGTATCTTTCCTGCGTTCGCTCTATCCCTCTGTTTGGTGTGGTCAATAATTAAACAACGACCAGTTTTTCATTACGACTTCATTCGATTGCGTCTGACGCAAACGTTCTAACTACGGCGAGTTGCCGATGAGGCTATGCGCCAGCCAGTGGTTGAGCTAAACCGCATTTGTTGCTAAGTTGAAATTTCTGAATCGACCGACGACCGGGAGCAGAGATATATCGATGGGGAAATATCTCTCGAGTTGTGTGAGCTCGTACGTG